ATCAGATTCGACTTGGAGCTCCTGCTTCGGAATTTTCCCAAACTAAACCATGGGTACATATTGTAACATCCTCAATACCGGGTTAGAGAATAGATTTAAAAAAAATTCAGAAATTGGTGATTAAAGTAGGATAATTGAATAGTTCAATAACTTATTGGAAATATTTTATGAAGGTTGTTTAGTAATTATTGAATGAATTAAAGGGTAAAATGGTCATTTGATAAGTGAGATTTTTATTTTTCATTATAAGATAAGATAACCACGTGGAAGAGGAGAGATTTCTCCAGAGTTCTCTTCTTCTCTTTTCTTCTTCTTCACGTGAAGCCATAAGCAAAGGTAAGATCTCTTGTTGGTTGATATTTAGCTGAATTTAAGATTGAATTTTGATCATTAAATGATAATTAAGCTTAAGGAAAGCTTAATTTGTCTTAAAACCATAAGATAAAAGAGTCAAGAGAGATAAAAGATTAGAAGTTTTTAAAGGAAATCTTGAATGAGAGTTGATAAGTTAAATTTGGCTTGTCATCAAGCTAGCTATGAAGTATGAGGTTTTAGAATTAAATTTAGAACATGTTGAAAATTGAGTGTGAATCTTGAATACCATGTAAATGATATAATTTTGAGTTTAAAGAAGTGATTATGGAGTAGAAATGGGTTTAAACATGTGTATATGAGTTATGAATATGTAAAAGGTTGAAACATGAGGTATTTGTGAGAAATAGAGTGAATTTTCGAGCTCAAAACATGAATTCTGGGCTAGGGGTATCGGTACCCATTCAATACTGATACCCTCTCAAACGAGAAAAATTTCAGAATGTCATGGGGGTATCTATTCCCCCTCAGAGGGGTATCGATACCCCCCTTGAACGAAAAATTTCAGAATGGCATAGGGGTTTCGATTCCCCCTAGTAGGGTATCGATACCCCTAAAGGAAAAATGTGAATATTGGTTTATTAAGTTCGTTTAAGCTGTTAGTATCGAATTACAAGGTGTGGGTATCTAATAATTGCCTTAAAATGTATAATTGTGTAGATACAGGGCCTAAACGAGTTCTGGAACCATTGACAAGTAAGATCGATCGGGGGGGATATATAAGAGATCGATATTGACTAATGAGGCCAAGTGAGTGCATACTTTTGGTATCTCGTGTTAATGGAAATATGACTCGCGATGAGTTTATTTCCTATAGTAGAATGCATGAAGTCATGAACATGAGCATGGTTTGATATGATTATATGTGCTATATGTTGATATGCTTTGTGTGTGATACATGATTTATGAAAATATTATTATATAATAATGGGAAAACATAAAATAAGTTATGTAATGATATGCTTATAAAAGAAAAGCCATGTAAGTATATGCTATTTACAGAATAATTAAGCCAAGGTTTATTGTGATATATATAAGAATGAAATGTAAGCTACACATAAGTGATAAGTCATGAAGATGTGTGATTATGAGAAGATTCAAGAGAACCAAATATAAATCGGGAGATAATAAATTAGATGACTCTAGGAAATAATAATAATATATATAATTAGGGGACATGAACATAATGATGATACGAACATATAGGATAAGCAATATAGGAAGTGTGATATACTTAAAGGAAATTATGATATAGGAATTATCGAATGAAGAACTATAAAATCCCTATGAGAAAGATTATAGGTGTTATATGAAACTGAATTAAATAAATAGAGTAAACTAGTATTTAAATATTGTGAGATAAGTGATATAAGTCATATGTTATTGAAAAGGTTAGTGTAATAAATCATGTAAACTGATAAAAGGGAAATGAGATAAGATAAGTAGCAATTACCTATAAGATTCAAATAAGATTCTATGAATATGTAGCGTAAACTATATAAAGGAGACTTAGATATTATGCGATGTAAGAATGAAATGAACATAAGATATAGTCAGGTGAAATTAGTATGTGATGTGAGTATATGAATATGTTAGATAAGTAATATGGGGATGTCGATATGTTAAATGAAACTATAATCTAAAACTGTTAGATTTTTATATGATATGAAGTATAGTACCAAAGTACTTGAAATCATATGAGGATGTTATAGGAATTAGAAATATAAATTATATGACATTAATGTATCAATTATAGTAAAAGGAGTACATGATGTTGTAATAAATTATAGAAAGTGGTGTAATGAAATTATATGAATAAGTGAAAGAGTAAAATAAGTTAATCAACATTGACCTGAATCATATTATGAATTAGTGGTATACAAATCTATGTGATATGACCTATGAGATCATATGAAATATTATATGACAATGTGATTATATGAAAAAAATACAATTATATGTGATAAGCTCTGTGATATGTGAATCATATGAAAATGTCCTACGTGTAAGTGAACCATGTGCCTATACGTATCTGTGATATGTGATTTATATGACAGTGAGCTATGTGAAAGAACTATGAGACTACTTGTATATGTGAATGTGTGATATCATAAATATTAATGCCCATGTTATGTGATATGAGAGCTAGAGGTATAGTTGGCATGCCAAGAGTCGAGGGTCTACGCGGTCCTTCGGGACATATATGTATTCTTTGGAACATGTGTGAGGTCTTTTGAGACACATACTTGATCCTTGGCATATGTATATGATTCTTAAGGAATTTTCTACATGGTCCTTAGGGACAATCTTATATGGCACTTCGGTGCATTTCTATGCGGCACTACGACGCAATTCTACGTGGCTCTTCGGTGCATTTATACGAGCTGTGGTGACAACATTAGTGTACAACCTCAATAGACTCACATATCTATAGTTCTCACAGTGTACATGGGTTAATCAAGAGATAATAACAAATACACTATATGTAATATGTATGTTTGGTAATGTTAAGTGTGTTACAGAAATCTCATGATGATACGTTTGTTAATTGGTATAGTTATAGATGTGCTATATGATTTGTATGCATGGTGGGTAAATGGTCATATGATCTAAGAAATTAATGATAATGATAAGGTTTATAATAAAGATAAAGAATTGATATGCATTTGTCTTTAGTTATGTTTGATACGTAATGCATTCCATAGTTTATGAAGTTTACATGAAGTATGCATAATAGCAATTAGAAATGATATGTTATAGTAAATTTAATTATGTCTCACTAAGTCATAGACTTAGCGTGTGATTGTTTCACACGTAGGTTACAGAAGCGAGAAGAGAATCTAAGAGGAGTAAGACAGGTCAACATCTTCCTTACAACGTTTCAGATCAGAAAGGAAATGTTTGATATGTATTTGATTCTTTTAGATATAGTTGGCATGTAATATAAACGATTTGAATAGTATATGCTCTGATAAGTTTGTACACTTTTATGATGAAATAATTTGAAGTTTGTTTAACGGGAAATTTTCATTATTTTGAACAAGTAAAAGTTTTAAAAGTTGACGTGACACCTCGAACTCAGATCCGGGTAGGATACGGGTTGGGGGTGTTACACATACATTTGTAGTAGCTTCTCGGATATTCACTGCCCTTAACCTGTTTCTGTCCATACTACCTCCAGTTGTATCCATCTTCTGATGTTCTTGCTGTTCCTGTTGCTTCAGATTTGTGCCGACATCTTGTCCCTTGAAAGGAACTCTCTGCATAGACATTTGATCATCAGCCAATTAAGGATGGAATCCCAAATTAGCATTATCATTCACAATGTTATTTAAAACTTCGACTTGAGTGACTGAATCTGCTGCAATACTTGTTGAAGTAGCTTCTTCGGAAAATTCTGCAGGAAATTCAAAATCTAAAGGTGTATCCAAATGGACAAGGGGTTGATAACTGGCCTCAGCCTTTTGAACTACATGTGACAGGTGAAAGGGACTGGCTACCAGGATGAAGTCACTCCCCATTAGAATTGCCCATAATAATATCAATCAACCATAACAAAGTCATATGTGATGGATGTTAGACATCAATTACTCTACAGATGAACTGCAGGATTACAATATTATCTAACTGAAATAGCTTGCCTCCTAATGAAGGATTTACCAGCAAAAATCACCTTGCTTTCCTATTTTAACAACCTTAAGAGTGTTGCATCTGAGGAAGATGAAGACTCACTCTAACTCCTAAACCCAAAATAAACAGAAACTGGCACTCATAGGGAAACTCCTTCAAACATAAAAGGGATCAAACTTTATGACAATGTACTACTAGAACAGAAGAAAGTTACCTGGTCTTCTACACTAGAAAAACTTGGCTGGAAATCCATATTCTGTGGTTTAAATGTGAATGAAGGAGCTACACAGCTGCCTCTGTCTCTATCCTGACTGAGAAAGGGTACTGGAAATTAAGAACCCTTAATTAGCATTCCAGTGATGGATTATCACCAGACAACCAAAGTATTTCCTCTTGGATGCTTGATTTTGAGGCTATCAATGACAGGAAAAAATAAAAGAGCTGAAGCAAACCTCAAAATGTTCAAACCTATGAATGCAATAGCAAAAGCCTCATTCGTAAACACCCATACACCATGATTTTTCATATTATTAGTAGATTTTAAGGTTTATTTTTATCTTTGTCTTCTTTATTTGCTTTCTGTTTCTTACAGATGTGCTAACAAGTAAAATCAAACAGTAGCAATCTCCTCTTGCCCAAGTGGAGTTTTCAAATTCTAGAAAGGATTAGATTTTAGAAAGTGTTAGGGATGATAAGTAAAGTTGTCGACTGATGAAGATAACTTCAACAAAATCACCGAGAGATGAAAACAATTTTAATAAAATCTTCGATAGCTACCAATGATTTTACTCTTTTTTTTCTTCATTTTGATACATAATTAAGAGAAAATAAAAGTAAAAGTGAAGAAGTAAAATAATTTTTTTTCATAAATTAACATTAAATGAATTTTAGACACTTTCATTAAATTTACTATTATTATAGTAACTTTATAAATCGTATTTTAATCTTTATTATTAATTTTCTTTTAAATTAGTCCAAAAACATAAAAAAGTAGTAAGATCGTTGACAACGACTGATAATTTTATCAAAATCGATTTTAATCGTCAATTATTTTAATCGTCAGTAATAGATGGAACGTAAGAAGCTGCTGCTTTCAGTCCTAGAAAAATGTCCAAATCTTAAAACCCTGAAAAAAATCCATGCCAGGGCGACAACTCTGGGGCTACTGCAAAACCATAACCAAGCCTTGTCATGCAAAATACTCACTACCTACGCTAATCTGAACTTCCCAAATGATGCAAACAAAGTCTTCAACAGAATCGAGCAACCAGACATAGTTTCATGGACTTGCCTCATTAGCCTTTTCTCACGATACAGAAACCCCATCAAATCTGTCTTTGCCTTCTCCCAGTTGATGCGTGCCGGTTTAAGACCCGATAGTTATTCCGTCGTTGCCGCCTTGTCAGCTTGCGGTAAAAGCGAAGATTTGCTTAATGGAAAGCTAATCCATGGACTTATTTTGAAATATAACTTGGGTTTTAAGATCTCAATTGTCGGAAATGCTCTTATTGATATGTATAGTAGAAATGGCGAAATTATAGTGGCTGAATTAGTTTTTGACTGTATGTATGTTAAAGATGTTGCTTCTTGGAATAGTTTGCTGAATGGTTTTATTTTGTGCAATGATTTGGAGGCTTCGCGCCGCGTGTTTGATAAAATGCCCAAGAGAAATGAAGTTTCGTGGTCGGCTTTAATATCTGGGTATGTAAAAGTGAAGGAACCGTTGGTGGGAACGAAGCTCTTTAAGGAAATGAGAAGTCAGGGGAAAGTTAATCCCACAATCGTTACTGTAGTTGCCGTTCTTGCCGGCTGTGCCAATAACGGGGCTCTTTATTTTGGTGGGAGTGTTCATGGTTATGTTAAGAAAGTCAATTTGGATGCAAAGAAGAATGTTGTTTTGAGTAATGCTTTGATGGATATGTATTCAAAGTGTGGTTACCTCGGTGTTGCAGGGACGATTTTTAATGAAATGTGTTTAAGAGATGTGTTTTCTTGGACTATTATGATAACCGGATGTGCGTTCCATGGGAAAGGAAAACAAGCTCTGCAGCTGTTTTCCGACATGAAAGAATCGAATGTTGCTCCAAATGAGGTGACATTTTTGTCTCTTGTCTCAGCATGTAACCATGAAGGGTTGTTTGTTGAGGGGCAGGAGTTGTTTAGGGATATGGTTCGATGCTATGGTTTTAAACCCATGATTGAGCATTACGGATGTGTCGTGGACCTTCTTGGGCGAGCCGGGCTTTTGGAAGAAGCGAAAATGTTAATCGATGAAATGCCTATGTTGCCAGACGCCGTTATTTGGAGGTCATTAATTTGTGCTTGTTTGACCCATGGGGAACTGGATTTAGCAGAGGCTGCAGGAGAGAAGCTTATGAAACTAGAACCGGAGGATGATGGGGCGTATGCACTTTTGTCACATGTGTATTTGAGGTCGAATAGGCATGAAGATGCCTTAAGGATTAGGAAGTTGATGAGAAATAAAAGGATTAGGAAAATACCTGGATGTAGTTGGATTGAGGTGAACGGTAGTGTTCATCAATTTCTAGCTGAAGATGCTGCTGCCGCCGCCGCCGCTGCTGCTGGTGACATTTACTGGATTCTAGAATGCATCGGTGAACCCAACAGAGAATTTCTTTGGTTAGAGTTGGAATAATTCAATCACTCCAAGCTGCTGCATTCCTTTGTTATCTATTTCTTTGGGCTAATTTAATATTGTTTTTACGGTTGATTGATTCCAAAAGCGATCCATATAGTTTGCTATCTCTTTCAAGTAGTAGTATAAAGACAAAAAGATCAGTCTTGATCTTAAGAAAAAGGAGCTTAAGAAAACTGATCTGTACCGGGAAATGCTTTTGATCTATATTTGCCATAAAAGGGCAAACTAGTACATGTAAGCATGTATGTACATATGTAACTCCACACTTTCTTTACCTTGCTTACAACTTGAAATTTGATGAGATCGTATTCAGCAATGCATGGCATCTCTCTTGTAACCCACCTTTTCTTTTTTTTTAGATTTGCCCCTCTTTTTCTAAATGCTTCCCCCGCCTTCATAAACTGTCTTCTTGTCTCTTCCGTTGGAAAGAGAGATTCTTTGAAAAATGCCTTGAATCAAGTATTCAGGTTGAAGATCTTCGCCATTGCTTTTTACTTTTTTTCTGAGGCATTTTAAACGGACTCCAGCTCTTTCTGCGCTTAGAGGTTTCGCAAAAGAGGCCAGAGGCCAAGGCCTGCTGAAGCCATAACTCAAATTCTTCATCTTCATCGATCATTTCAGCATCCAAATCCCAAGGAAATTTGCCCGAGTTGGATCTTTGCGTCTTGTCCAATCCAACCATGTTTACATGGAAGCTAGGTCGATGGGTGTTTGGTCTACATGCCATTCCCTGCAACAACCATCTATAAAGTTACCAGTACAAAATGCATCGATTTCACCATGCAATACTTCTCCCTCCATTGTGGGGAAGAGTATGATTCGGTTCAGTTTGATTAAAAGGAATTTGAAAATCAAACTTATTTTTGATTAATTCAGTTTGGTTTCTAATTCCATTTGGACATATATTTCATAACAAAATTTTTTGTAAACATAGTTTAATCCAATTATTTGCCTCAAATAACAAATTCAAACCCACATGTCAGATTCCAAATTTAAGCCAAAGTATACGAGGAAAACTAGACAATAAAAAACGAAACATGAATTTTACACGGTGAATAATGATTGTACCTAACATCTACTTGATTCAAGATATTTTTTCTAGGTAAGACTCATGAAAGACAGGCAGCCACTTTAAAAATTGTTGAATCATTATGAACAAAGGGAAACCAACCAACAATAGTCATGAGATTTAGTTACCAGACTGAGTCAAAAAACTACTTACCAAAACCGAATTTGTATCCACTTTGTTTTGCAGTTTGAACCAAGCAGTACCAAAATGCTTGGCCATTTAATTATTTAATATTCCGTTATATCATCTAATGTTTTTTCTGTCACTTCTACATAAGATCGAAGATCAATTTAACCAATAACGTCAATTCATGCATCCACCAGACACACATGTACATGCATGTGTCTACGAAACATGAACTTACCTGACAAATAGCCCATTCTGAAACATCAAAGATCTTGCTCTCAGCACAAACAAAAGCGCGTGGTATTTCCACCTAGAAAGGAAGGCAAGAGGGAAAACTGCTAAGCTTAATGAACACTATCGCCTCTTAAACTGCATACTGCACAAAAGGAGATGGAAGATAGCCATCTAAAGCTTACATTGTTAAAAAGGTACTTTATCCTCATATACATCATGTTTTCTGTTACAGCAGAGAAAGTACTCATGCAGAAGGCCCAGAAGCCATACCCTCCTTATCAATATTCAAATATTATCTTTGTTACATTTTGTTATTAAGCAATTGTAATATATTTTAGTTAACACTAGTCCTAAAACACAACGACAGCACAGTGGGCATCCCGGACTTTGGCCATCTGGAGTTTCAAATACCTAAATGCACCTAACGCTCAGGTCAGGAGCTGCTTAAGAACTAGTAAGTGAAGTTGATTTTACCAAAAAAGAACAAACAGACCTTTCTCAGGACACTACCGTTTAAGTAATCATTTAACTAGAATGCGAGTTGTGGTTTACTCAAATGCTAGAATTAAAGAGCTGCAATAAACTTATAACCCAAATAATCCTTTAGCCTCATTGTAAGCATCTTCCTTGTTCCAAAATAAAATATAGTAATGTAAAACTCAAATATGTTATCATTTTCCAGCTCCAATCTTAAATTTTAGTATCAGATAAGTCATTTGCTGCTTTTAACTTAAAAAACCACTTCAAGAACGGTATTTTGGTAAGGCAAAACAAATTGCCAATTTGATAATAAAAACCGTAGACAGAAAACACTCGCAACTTCACGTTGTACCAAAATCAGTTGAAACAACCAATGTTGTACATCAAATTGATTAAGATTTTAATAAGGAACCTACCTTTTGTGGCCTGTCAAACACCAAGGAACCTTTGTACTCAACCCACCCATCTCCATCCTTGGCTTGATGATACTGACAACAATCCTGAATGCAGATGTAATCTAAAAGGATTATGAAATAAATTTTGGAAAACAAAGATCATTATGTTGTGAGTGCAATGTCTATACATGCATGTTTTTGTGCGAATACTTAATTTTTGTGCCTACATGTAAGAAAGGAAAAAAGGTGTGTTGTGTGGTATAAAATCACCAACGGGAAAAACAAGGAAAATTCTCTCTTTTCATTGTTTCCTTTAACATTTTGAATATTCTTGAGCGGTTTGCATCAATTATTACACTTTAGTTTTGACAAGTACCTTTTGATTTTTTAAGCTGCAAACATTGGATTGAGGCACCATTTTTGTCTTAACTTTTAAGTCCATTGTTGTTTTTAACTTTTTTATGTCTAAATTTATAAAAATATTAATTATAATTTTAGTCTCAAAAGGCCTATGCCACAAAATTTCATGGTTAAGTCATACTTCATAACCTGTAAAATGCTACACCTTTTGAAACAATGGATTTGAGAAGGAAACATCTCTGACCTGACACCATCTTGCCTTTGCCTTGTTCCTACTTGTGCACACCCATATATGTGAATTACCACACTTAGTGCACTGTATACGCCTCGATTCTTCAGAGCAATGATCTGGATTAGGCTGCTGAAATGAGGGAACAGTTGAAAAGTATAAATTTTACATTATCATACACCATAAACTACCGAATCAGAATTACATGAGATTAGCAATAAGAAACAAGCCAAGAGATAAGAACCCCAAAGCAAGGTTCTTGAACTCTAAGCTAGAGATGCACATTATCTCCCTTATGCCAAGTATTTTTGCATTTCCATTCCTCTAGGCTATAAATTTCATTGAGAAAATAAACAGGTGCAACAAATATGGAAATGTGCAGTAGAAATCAAAACTACCTGCCATGAGGAGCTATGAGCCTTTTGACAGACACTCCTAGTCCTGGATTCCTCCTTTCTTAACTGCTCATCATAGTCCCTCTTCTTCATGGAATCAGAAAGAACCTACAAAATACATGTCAGTTGCTGCTTAAAGCCAGAAGCCAACAATTCCCAGAGCCAATGACATTGTTCAGCCTTCATTTTATATGTACATAAAATAGCAAATCAAAATAAGAAATTAAATTAAGACTAAATAGAAGTAACAAGAAGAACATAGTTGCTCACCTCATAAGCACATTGAAGTTTCTTAAAGGATTCACTTGCTAAAGGACTCCCCATATTTTTATCGGGATGTACAAGCATTGCCTGTTGAAAATAGAATTGAGGGAAAACAAATCAAGAAACCGAGTGTTTCTCCTTGATTTTAACCCATCAAGTTACTTCACAAAATCCTAAAATTCTTTCAGTTTTATTTATAACGAATTAGAAACAAAGTCTAAACACAGTCCAATCAAGGATGGACCGAGGGGGATGCTAGGGGGTGCGAAATTTTAAATTCCCTTATATATTAGATATTTTCTTTTTATTTTATATGAATTATTTGATTTCGCACCCCTTGAGATTTTATAATCTCGCACCCCTAGATTTTTAATATAATATTTTATATTCGCACCCCTCACACTAATTCCTGTGTCTGTCCCTGAGTCCAATATCACTTGCATAAAAAAGTAGAAACCTAGCTCAAGTCTAACTAACTTTTTTGTTGAAATTTAGTACTGGGTGAGTAGATTACATATTTAGATAATTGATACTTGTATGCCTCTTTTCCAGGATAGAATCTACCTTCTTTCTATATTCCTTTTTCAAGACTGTAATGTCAATTTTTGTATGACGAGCGATCCCCAGGGCTTGATAATGATCTGTGCAATTCAATATTCTTGTCATTTCATCAGCTGAACTTGTTTCTTCCTTGACAAACTTATTAACCGAAAACTCTTTTTCGTTAATAACAGATGTAGTAGCAGCTTTTCCGGATGACTTGCATGGCTGCACCTTCTCAGATTCATTGGTAGGAATAGAGTATTCACATTTTCCAGACAAATCATCTTCCATAACTGGCTTGGATTCCTTTGGCTCTTCATATTGCATGTTCTCACTCACATTATCAAAATGTTGGAGCAAATAATTCAATACATCATTTGATAAAAATGCAAGGTTTATTGATAGAAAAACACCGAGCCAGCCAACTCGGACTTTGACAAAATAAATAGAATATGGAGTTGCTATCAAGACTATCAACCGCGCATAACATAAGGAGAACATATAACCTGCACGAAGAGATTAGAATTTCAGAGATCTCAAATCAACAGAAGCAGTAAAAGAGATCAAATGCATATATTATGTCTATCAAACAAGTTTCAGAATAAAGAATCATCCAGAATTAGAGATAATTGCTTCTAATGAAAATATTTCAATAATGCGACACTCACAACATAGAAGAAATATCACAAGTTTATAGAGTAAATACACATGCTAACCATGTTTTAGATGATGTATAGGAATTTTGTGAAGTAACACTCTTTTACATACAGCAAAGGCTGGATGAGAGCTCAAATAATATACTATTGAACTTCATGTTCAGAAGATCAGTTGTTGCCAGTAGTAGTGGCAAGAACTGGTATTTCAAGGAATGAGAAAAACTTGAAAACAACAGAGAGCAATTCAATTAATCACCAATGGTTGTCATACTGACTGCAGACACAGTTCAGACGAAGGATTTGATTGGGCAGTAGGCATGCATACACAAATAGTAATCTTAGTTTAACCAAACTTAACCTAAAGGTATGGATAATTTAACCACACTTAATTAAGTTTGACTGCAGACACAGTTCACAAGATTTTACTTTCGGGATTTAGGCTCTTATGCTCCTTGTCATAAATCTTATTAATTCTGATAAAATTAAATCCCACAACTGTCTACACTTGCTAGACATGCAAATTCTCTACAGTTTAAGAAGTGTAAAAAGAGATCCTCACGTGGTAAATGCTTAGCTTATAACTTATATTTAGTCTCGCTCAAAGAATAAGAGGCAAAGCTCCTTTCAATGTCTCCTGGCCTTGAACCCGCTTTTCAATTATTTTGAGGCCTTGTTTTAGTGATATTTCATATTTGTCACACAAAAACACTTTCCCCTTCACTTTCCATTGGCGGAGTCAACATGACCAGCCTTACTTCATAGACAACCAGCTCCATTTGTAAAAGAACTTAGAAAATTATGTGTGCTTCTCTATATATTCATATAGGTTTTTTAGTTTTATTAGCCTTCCATACACAAACACGTGTATGTAGGAATGACTATCTACAAACTATAAAATAAGACATAAGCCATTTTGACACAGAGTAAGATGGATAATATCTATTTTAAATATAAGCACTCTCATACTTAATGTCTGTAACTATTTCTCAAACAGAGGATATGTCACAGGAAATGTCATCGACGACATTGATAGAAATATCTCATGTATCATAACAGATATTTGAACGAAGTAAGTTAAAACATATTCTTAAGGCAAGAAAAAACCATAGGCAGGGGACAAGAAACAAGCCATACCTCCAACTATAAACAATGTACCCGTTATCCAAGAGTTAGCATACATCCATAGTATCAAAGTGCCAAACAACCCTGCAATAAAGAGTCCGGGAGTGTAACCTAATTGCTGAATTGCACCTCCAGCAACTCCCTGAAACATATGAAAGAAGATTCTTAGTATCATTCTCAAGTTTCTGGTGGCTATTTAAATAAGATTGATGCCACTGTAAAATTGACTCTGTTATTTGTTTAGTAACGAGAAAATCCATAAGTTACAGTAAAACCAAAACATCATCAAGTATAGTGTAACCTAAATCCTAGGATTGTTGCCAAGTGTCTAGCCTCTAACAAAATGATTGAAAACCAGATCCTTTTTTCTTCTTCTCAAACAAATTTCAAAGTTATAACAAGGTTGATAAAAATAAAATCGTAGGAATCAACCTTTCCAACTTGGCTTTAGTTTCTTCCCAATCAATTAGCAATTTCAGCTAACTAATCGATTCAATATAAAAATAGACAACTGATTTTAACAAAAACATGAAACAAGACGTACCATACTCAGAATTACATAGAGCAAACAAGACATGGAAGTCAAGCTGAGGAAACAACTCCACATTATAACAAGCAAGGAAGCTGAACCCAATCTGCTACATGACTGAAACCCTCTGACCACACTATCTTTCCAATAAACCAAAAGCAACCTTGAAAACTTCCAGATATTAACAAACGCGCTACAAACCACAGGCCCATGCTTCTCCATTATCAACCCCATTTTATCACTACAACAACCAACAGCTGTTTTTGCCATGAAGTAAAGATGTTTTTGAGATTGTAAACATTTCCAACCTTGCTTAAACAGCCCAATATCCTCCATCGCCCCTTTCACCCTTCGATCCACCTCACGAAGATGATGAAACTTTTGCTAATAAAATGGACAAAAGAAAAGAAAAAAACGCTTCAGGAATTGAACCTTAAACGAAATAAAACACCACTATTGTCCATTTATTATAAATTACTTTAAACAAATAGTATACCCATTTGAATAATTTCAGTTAAGAGTGAATTCAATCACAGTGGGATCATTCAGCGCATTTGCTTCACATGTAAGCTTCCAACAAAGTTGATTAAATAAGGGGGGAAAGCGAATAGATGGAAGCAAATTATGGCACTTTTTGACTCTGAAAATCTGAAACTAAATTCGAAGACTGAGATAAGAGTGAGGTAAAGCAGGTGATAAAGTGTGTTCAGCAGAGCTGAGTGGAGTGGAGCGAGTAAAAGCAAAATGTTAAATGTAAGATTTTGAATTTTCCCTTTGTATGGTTTCAAAACCCTAAATAGTAATTTTATTAATTTTTCATGTTAAATATATTCATACCTCAAAATAGTTTTCTGAGAAAATAAATTTAGTGATCGAAAATGACTTATAATATACGATTTTAACTAATTTTTTTTTGATTTGCGAAAATGATCAACAAATTCGCAACGCGAACTCCAATTTCGCAACTCGGTTTTGAAATTCGCAACACATAAGTCAAATTTGCAAAACGCGTTTATTTTCGCAACGCGAATTTTATTTTCGAATTCGAAACACAATATTAATTTCGCAACACAAATGTAAACAGTATAATCGTAACTCATAACCTAAAACCCTAAATCGTAACTCAGTCTCATCTCCATCTCTCACTCTTTACGGCAACATTCGTCCCTATCTCCGACGACATCTGTCCCCATATCCAACGACCCCCTCTATCTCCATCTCTCAGAGCCACCCTCACAACCATTCACGACCACAAAATGGAAAATCAACCACCGAGTTAGTTTTCTTAATTATTTTTATTTTGAAATTTTTGTATTATTATTAGATTTTTTATATTTAAATTGATGATAAATTTACTGTTAATTTCAATATATAGATTAACCATTTCACTTAGATTGCTTAGTAAATTCATTCGGTTGCTGCCAATACTACTAAACTGTTTAGTCTTTAACCTTGTGAAGTTAGTATTTGTCTTTTGGTTGAAGTAATGCAATTCATTCAAGTTTTAATTTGCAGAAGAATAGTTTTTGAAACTTAAATTTGCAACGCAATTTTTCGCGTTGCGATTTTCATTTTCGTGTTGCGAATTTAAGTTTCAAAAACTACTCTTCTTCTGCAAATTGAAACTTGAATGAATTGTATTACTTCAACCAAAAAACAAAGACAAATACTAACTTCACAGTGTTGCGAATTTAAGTTTCAAGAATAAACTACTACTCTTTATGTTGTAACCTGCACTAAACCTATATGTTGTCCTTTTAAATATGATTTGATGCATTTTGTGAACTATGTAGAATAATGACTTGGGTTTATACCGTGTTAGTTTGAAACATATTTGGCTATATTTTCCCTGTTTAATATCATGTTTTTTTATAGTGTATAATTTGTAGTTTTTGGTATATCTAACTTGGTATGTTTATTGTTTTTGTTAGGAATTTTTTTCGGCTTCATTGACTTTAAGGAATAAATTAAGCCTAGCTACTACAATTGCGTCGACACTTACACCTGTACAAAGAAATTTGTTTGAGAAAACTTGTTTCGGGTCATGGCTGAAAGTACAACATCCAGGTGGAGATGCTATGTTGACCCATTTGTTTCTTCAGATCATGACTAACAATATACCCGAGAGGATACAACGTGGTGATGAAAAGATATGGTTTTATTTTCCACCGACGTATACTTGTTTTGGGCAGGAGGAGTTTTGCTTAATCATTGGTCTATGTTTCGGACGACACGATGATGTAGGTCGGTACACTAGTCATATCGCCCGCCCATCATGGTTATTTCAGGGTTTTCCTGAGCTGGCAAAGGCGAAGCCCAGTTTACACGTCGATGATTGTAAAATATTACTTCTTAAAGAAGGTTTTACTCGGATGAATGGCCTTGATGTTGTCCGAGTATGCCTTTTATTACTTTTGAATGCCGACTTTTTAGGCAAAGATAGCAGACAACCTATTTCTGAGGATTTAATATTATTGGTAGATGACCTAGATACATGGATCGTGTTTCCATGGGATTCATATCTATGGAAAGCTACCTGGAAAAAGTTGTCAACTGCCTTTGAAGACCGTCGTAGTTTGCGTGGCCATGGTTCCAAATACACTTTGGTAGGCTTTATTTGGGCCTTTAAGGTAATAATTTCTATATAATGTTTCCAAAATTATAATTAATTATTTAACAATTACTAAAATTAATGTTTGTGTATTATATTGTTTGTAGATTTGGATATTTGAGGCTTTTCCCAGTATGCAAACATATGGCATCAAAAAGTCAAATGATATTCCTAGGGCTATTACCTGGAGGAGGATCCGGTTGTTGGATTAGGAAGATTTAATACCATATACGATGATGAATTATGTAAGTTAACATAAATACTACCATATATAAACAAGTTATTACTAGTAGATGTTTGACTTTGTTTGAGCTTTTATATTGTTAGGAGGCAAATTATCCATTACAGAGGCTGACACCCACAGAGGCTGAGCTTGCCACTGATTGGTGGCAAGCTAGTAAGTGTTTTTTTATGGGACGGATGATGAGCACCCCCCACTTAGAGAGCCATCACCTGATCGAGCCGATTATACAACCCCACAACGAGAGCCATCACCTATTCCATTACATCATCGAGCCTCTTTTCCACCATCACCTCATGATAGGCGACCGGCAAAGATGCCATGCCATTTATCTCCCTGTTCTTTACCTCCACGGGATGAGTTAAGGGGGTTACGTGATGAAGTCAGTGTTTTACGTGATGAGGTCAGTGCTTTGTGTGATGAGGTCGGTACTTTACGTAACGACAATGGTGCATGGCGTGATGAGGTACGGTCTTTACGTGGTGAGGTAGATGTTTTACGCGATGGCAATGGTGCTTTACGTGGTGAGGTATCTACTTTACGTGATGAGGTAGTCGCTCTACGTGAGATTATTTCATCGTTACAGAATGAGGTTCATACTCTACGCAATGAGGTAAGTTTGTTTAATACTATACTAAAAATACAAATAACTTTTTTTCGGCATTATTTATTTATTTATTTACTGATTTATGTATTAATTTATTTTTAGCGGTCCGATAAGGTAGATGCTTTACGTTGGGGTTTTTTTGCACGACGGGGTTCACGCATCAGACGTCGTGCACGTGCCATTACGTCTCCTTTCACCCTAATAGTTTTAAGACTCCGTAAGAAGAAGCCCAATTCACCTATCATCGTTTAAGAGGCCCCTCTTATCGTTCAAGAGGCCCATCACATCGTTCAAGAGGCCCCTCCTACCGTTCAAGAGCCCGATTCACATGGCATACTATGTCGACTTATTGATAAACCCTCTCACGTTCCCGGTATAATGGACCAGAGTTGGCTTTCGTATCAGTTATCGGCCAGTACCATTCCTCAACAGGAGAGGATAACACTACCGGACACAATTATGGATAATACCCTTTGGGCTAATACCGCAGTTGATTTTTATCTACATGAGCAGAGCCAGGGGTGCTACGCTGATATATGCAAAATCGATGATGATATGCATTTGTTTCTTGATCGGTCTTGGTGGGGTATTTTATTAGGGGTTGAAAAGAATGGCTATTTCGAATGGGGGTAAGTCTTATATTATTCTTATATTGCATTTTGATTATTTTTTTAAATTTATTAAATTCACTAATATATGTATTTTTTTATAAAACAACATATTGATGGATGGGTGTCACGTCTTCTAATTATAAGGAAATTAAATAAAATAAAAAAGACAAGATGGACTATTATGCCTTCGTCTTTTCACGTAGCTCACTTGAAGGATCAGAGAGACGCTTCATATGCGTTGGGTAATGGAAAAGCTATCATTTATCCTGCGTGGTGGGAGGTCGATAAGGTTAGTATTTATTTTTGAATATTTTAAAGGTGTTCATAAATTTTATTTGATGTGCGCAATTGAATTATTATTTATGATTGTAGATATTTATCCATGTTATGAAACATCGTCATTGGCTTCTCGTAGAGCTTCAGCTCCCATCCATGAAGACGATAGTATATGATAGCATGTTGAATTACATAACATTGTCTGATTGAAAGATATTATTTGTAAGGGATGGAGCGCTCATTTGGCTAAATTCTTGGATGCGATTGATTATTAGACTAATTCATGAAACAAGAAGCCAAATAAGTTAAAAGTTACAATGATAAGAGACGAGACAGCACCACAACAAACGGTAGGAGCCAAAGGGGATTATGGTCCTCTTTTATGCATGTGCTTGGAACATATGACGACAAGAGGTAAACAGTTTATACCTCCTACAGATAGAGATAGAGGTGCAGTAGGATTGTGGTTTCAGTATTTTATGGCTAAAGCGATATATTCGAGACATTGCCTACCTGCATCCGCGTGCTGAAAATGTGCATAAACAACCATTTGTTATTGGTAAGTTTGAGAAAGTGTTATTAACATATATACTCTTTGTTGGTTTGAAAATGTTTGGTTAAGTACCTATAATTCAATAATTTGTTGTTTGTTGGTTTTAGATGTGTAGAAAATCTCATGCCCGTAACGTTTCTGTAGGTTAATCCTGAAGTGACCTGCGTGAACAAATTGATGTATTTGGATGTAAGCTCCTTATTGTTAGGAGCATTTGGATATACTGTCTTGGGATATCAAGTGTAAATAAAAATTATTTTTTTGTTTAATTGATTTGTTGTTTAATTTTAATCTGCATTATGTTGAAGGCAAAAAAGACCTGTTGAAGGTACAATTTTGCAATGTGAAAGTCAAATTCGCGTTGCAATTGTTGCGAAAGTCAAATTTGCAACGCGAAAGTCAAATTCACGTTGCGAATTCAAGGAAAACACCTTCAAAAAGATAATAGACAACAATCTGATAAGTGATAACAACTGAACAGATCATAGCAATGTTCAAACTCAAGTTACTAATGCATGTCTAACTAAAAATGTATGCATTCACACATAAAATACACATAATACAACGTTTGCATTTAAAAATCACCTAAGTTAATAAGTCCCAAAAGGTGAAGCCGGTTGTGATTGGGATTTTGATTTTGATTGCGATTTTGATTTCCTTTTGCTTGCCATCATATGAGCTTTGGCTTTTGATGATGATCCATATTTTGGTAAAGGAAAAGATGATTGTGATGGCAGTGGTGATGAACAGGTCAACCTTGTATAACCACTTTCCTTGCACCGACTACATGTTGATATTGTAACACCCATAACCCGTATAATTATACCTATACAGATTATAG